TAAGGAAGGATTTGGCTCCTGGTTTAAGAACAGTTTCAACTGCCATGGAAGAGGGCATGGTGGCAGGAGTATGTGGACTAGAATATTTTAAAACATTCTGGGGAAAATATGAGAGAATCTTGTTTGACAGTTGGGTGTGATAGCATATATCTATAATACCAGAACTGGGAGGATGGAGGAAAAAGGATCAGGAGTCCAAGGCCAACCTTGACTACAAAGTTTAAGATACCCCAATGCTACAGCATGAGACTCTGACTCAAAAAAGACTTGCTATCTAGATACTGAAACAAGACTATTAGAATACTGGTGGAGATATGCATACAGTTGATAAGCAGATAGACAGAGAAAGAACTAGTAATGGGCCCCTACAAATTAAGTTCCTGTGGGTGGTAGGGATGGGGGATAATCAGGAGTATGGGGGCCTTGTATATATAGACAAGTATGCTGCAACTAAGCTACAATTCCAGTTCAAGTGATAGTTAACAACCAGCAGAACAGAGAATACCTTTTTGGATCTGATTCTAAAACAATTTGCCATCCATAAGCAAAGAGCAGACTGTCAACAAACATCTCACAGCTTATATAATGGTTCATGGACTTTAAGTTTAAAGTATAAAACTATAAAATTTTAGAGAATTGAGGGCTAAATAAAACCATCTTCAATTTGACCCCAAAAGCTCAATGCATAAGAAGAAGCTGTCGTGTGACCACCTCCACAGAAGGAGGGGGGTAAAGCAGGAAGAGGGGGTGGAAACTTGATAAGAAGTGAGGCCAAGGAGATGGAGCCTAGGGAATCCCACAAGAACAAGCTGGCTCCAGAGAACACCAGCCAAGAGTCCATCACCAGCTTGAGGTACATCCAGTCAGAACCCATGACAACTCTTCAGAGAGTTACAGCAGACAAACAGCTACATCTGCACATGAAAACATGACTTGCATAATGGAGGACAGTCCAGGATCACATTGCTGAGAGCACTGAGAGCAGAGTCCTGGTAAGAATGGCTGTGCAGGGAAGAGGCAGTGCTTACAGCCCAGCAGCAAACTCAGCAGGAGCAGTTCCCCCCACCAATGTGAGGAGAACCAGCACTACCACTGTCAACCTACTGCCCAAACTGACTGGTATTCCAATGAATTCAGGCTAAGAGTAAAACTAATACTAGAGGTGGGCTGTCCTGCAGGGTGAAAGAGCTAAATCCATATTTCCCATGGGAACAATGCCTGAAATAAAGTGAAAACCAAGAACTAGCATGGTTTGGGAAGTGCATTCAAAGAATCAACAACCATGATGACTTCTAGGACCCTGAGATGGCACAGGAAAATGGTGTGGGGCTGTTTGATGTTTTCTTATTACCTAATGCATTCCTGGGTTCAAACTGATCCCATACAACTGAACTCTTAATTGGATCCATTGTGAGTTTTCAGGCCTGTGCTTCTTGGTTTCTCTACTAGCACAAAACAAGCCTTCATGTTTCCAAATGAGTGGGAGAAAATGAAAGAAAGGGGTTGTTTTTCTAACATAAGTAAAAGAATGGGAAGACCATTCTGGGCAGAAGAAAGAGCAAGAGCAGAGATAGGAAATGAAATATGGACAGCTGAGCAAGCATGGAGCAAACAAGGGGGGAGGGGATAGGGAAGGTAAGGGGAAGAAAGAGGGGCAGGGAGGAAGAGGAGCTGAAGGAGAAAGAGGAGGGGTGAGAGCATGGGAAATATCCAGGAGCCTCCTGTGTGTAGGAGATGGCAAGCAGAGTACCTTAGGCCCACTGCAGACAGATCCCTGCACTCTGGAGCCTTGGGGGTTAGCTTGTTGGTTCAGCAGTATTAGGTTATTCCCAAATACTTTCAGCTTAGGCTCTCACCACACCTAACTTTTATTTCTGCTCCTTTCCAAGGCTTTAAAATCTAGAGCCCAAAGGAGTCACCTCCAGGTGAACATTTGGATCTACCTCCGCCAACATGCAGACACTGTTTTATTGAACTGCTTTCTACATGTTAAGCAATGTGTCAAACATTAAGTTTCTGATTTTAAATAACTCACCTTGTGATGGCAGAACTGCCTAAAACGTAACAGATAAAGCAATATAATTGGTGTAAACAAAAGCTGTGGGAGTACCAAAAATAACAGTGTACATATTTTTTTCTATGTAAAGTATGAATATTTATTTCAGGCTTTAGATCCCAATCGATTCCAAAAAACAAAATCTGATTTCTCTCCTCAGAGTAGCTGCAGCCTCCATGTTGGGATGATGTCATAGAGGCAGAAGCAGCACATTCATCAGGCTCAGCAAGAGGAAGGAAGTCCCTGATGCCCACCGCATCCCAGCCTCAGGAAGGGAAAGGGACAAAGTCACCACACGGGGCTGAACCAACGTACATGCACTAATGGAAGGAGCAGCTAAATTGGCAAATTGGCCTTTTTTTCTTCTTTTCTTTCTTTTTTTTGAAGTTTGTTTTCTGGGTTTTTTTTGTTTTGTTTTGTTTTGTGTTTTCCCCCCATTTTCTTTTGCTACCCAATATTTACAGCACTTGTGGACTCCCAGTGGGTCCCCAGCTTTAAACACATTGATGTCTTAAACAGACTAATTCTTCAAGAATCTACAAACAAACAAACCTGCTTTGCTGTGAACATTCTGCAGAGATGAAGTGAGGTGGGAGTTTTAGGGCAGTGGTGTCTGTCTGTTTAAAAAGAATCAATACAGCGATGGAAGGGGGAAGAATTCGAGAATTCAGACATTCTGTGGGGGGTGCTTTCTCTCCAGTAAAAGTCCATAAAAAGGAGCAAACTGAGATCCGCAGGGCAGTCGGCAGGAGCTGTGTGTGTTCCCACCCCATGAGTAAGTCTTCGCTGAGGGGCCACCATAGATCCCCATTTGCTCCCTCCCTTTGGCCTGAGACGTCAGGGCAGTACAGGGCACTGAAGGACCATGTCACGATTCCTCATTCCCAGAATCATCATCATCATAACAGTCGGCATCTTCTTCCTCCTCATCTTCATCATCAATGTTGTCGTCATAAAGTAAATCTGAGCTGTTGTCATTGGAAGGCACTTTAGATTTGATGCAGTTTTGTGGGGACCTTCACTCCGTCCTTCTCTGCTTCAGCCTTAGTCGCCGAGACCGTTTCCTAATAATCTTGGCGTACTCCTTGTCTTTTCCTTTACTGTCCCTCCATTTCCTGAACATAACTGAAGCATCCACATTGGCTGGGGAAAAGGTGTTGGGCTCATTAAGCAGTGAGATTACACTTAAGAGGATAGTCCTCACATTCTGAGTAGGATTCCACCTTTCAGAGGGCAGTTCTCCTCTCTGTGAGTCCTCTACAGGTGGATGAAATGCATACATCTCCATTCTCATAAATGTTGGGTTGCCACATTTTGGTCAAGAATCTGAAGGTAGGTGGTGAATATGGGTAGTCAATAGAAAATTTAATATGTGCCTTGAAGTAGCTGCCTTCGTAGAGGATGTTAGGGGGTCCAAAGATGGCCACTTCCCAGTTGTAGAGGTCGGACTCATCCACCAGGGTGATCCGGAAGCCCTCCACGGGTTCCTCCTGCAGGGATTTCAGCTCAAGCTCAAGGCTTTTTGTGAGCTGGTCATCTGCTGCTGGGCCATCACAGCGGCGGCCATGCAGGACCGTGGCCCCAGTAAACAGTGTACATATTTAAAGGTTTTTTTATTATGCATAATGTCAAATAGAAGCAAAAATAACCAAGAAGTCGTCACTTTGCTCTGATTATCAAAGCATGGTCTTTTAACTCTTTCATTTAAATCTTCACAGTAACACACCATTTCACCATAAACACATCAGCTTATACTTCTGATACAGACTCTCTAATGATGAGAGATTAGTAAGTTTTTTAAAGATCTGCTTTATTTTTAATTATGTGTCTCTTTGTATCTATGTGCATGACATACAGGGGCTCTGAGAGATCAGAGGCATTGGATTCTCTGCAGCTAGAATTATAAAGGTAGCTGTGATGAGAGTGTGGGGAATTGAACTTGGGTCCTCTTAAGTGCCAAGCCATCTCTCCTTAGTAGGTTTGTTTTTTAAATGAAGGTATAATTTACAAAATAAAAACATACAGATCTTAATGTATTTGAGTTCTGACAGCTATACATTTCTGTGTGAGAAATACACAAAACAACAAACTTCCATAACCCAGAAGGTTCCAAAAATACATTTCCTGGCCCATTTCCCAACCCAAATAATTATTTTCTGACTTCTATGCCACAATGAATCCTGCTATTCATGGACTTTTATAAATGGAATCACAAGGCATTATGAAATATTGACACTGTGGCCAAAGCACAGGAAGTGCTCCAGCTGGAAACCCTGTAACAGACGTAAAGCTGTGTCAGGGCATATTCGCAGGAGGCAGAAGGGCTCAGAGGGATTGGCAACCAGAACAAGGTGCTGGTAACTGAGGGAAAGCAGAAAGAAAGAAAAGCTCCCTAGAGAGTTGGGCTTTCCAGATTAAATGCTTTCCCAAGATCCCAAACTATTTTTCTGAGTTAAACTAGTCAGTTCTCCCAATAACTTCCCTTTCCCTCAATCTCCAAGTGAGGGTGATCAAGGCAAGAACAGAACCCTAGACACTCTGGTTATTGGTCCCACCTTATGTAAGAGCTTGCTACCAGCTCAAGGAAGAGTGTCAGCCATGCCCAGTGACTTTCCTAGGGCAGCATAATATACCTGTCTTAAGAAACAGCCACAGTAGATAAGTCATGGGACTGAGGGTAAAAGCCACTATTGACACAGCAATGAAATTGACTCCTAAGGATTTACTATTAAACTCACATATCAGTGCATTGCTCAACACTCATCAGAGAAGCATCTTGCAGTAGACAGCAATTAATACAGAGACTCACAATTGGTCAATGTGCAAAATGAGAGACTTTGTGGAGTGCTCAGCCCTAAATGGAATGCCCGTATCACACCTCTTCCCTTAGGGTTCAGGGATTTAAATAAAGAAGAAGAAGCAGTCATAATCCACAAAGTCTTACCATGATCTGAATTTCCCTCTTGCACACCTGGAGATCATGCTCATTGTTGACAAACATACGTTTCAAGGCACATTTCACCCCATTGCTTGTTCTCACCAGAAAGACAAGAGCAAATCCACCTGTAAGAAGAACAAACAGAGAAACTCTTTTGAGTAAGGTGCAAAGTCAGTCAGGAACTCAAGGTGCTGTTGTCACCTCTCATGGCACTGATACCACTATCAGCCAGTCTTCAAAGCAGCCTGGTCTAGATAGCATTCTTAAACTTTTGGAACTTACAGCCAGAGTCACAGACGTCCTGCACATCTAACCCAGAATCAAGGACGGACAGCAACTATTTTCTAAAGAAACTACAAGGTATTTTTTAAAATTAAGCCCAGTACTTTCTTTCTTATCAGAGAGGCTAGAAAATTCTTTTAGTGCTTGCTAACATACATAGTTGTCACTTTATTTCAAGACTCCCCTTTTCCTTTCTTCTTTCCCTCCCCACTCCACCTCTCATTCAGGTGGAGCAGGAGACCCTGAAGACTCCTGCACCTGTCACTGAATGTGCTGCTACAATATAAGACCCAGTGTGAGTGAACTGCTCTGCAGTGGACATCAGACTCCTTGATCAACACCTCACTTTCCTTTATCCAAAGACAGCTCACAATTCATTAACAGACACTTTCGTAACTTTCACTGGGATTTTCAACTGTGCTAAATTAGTTCATTCCTGGAGTTCCACATAATCTTACAACTAACTTCTACCTAACTCCAGAAGCACTATCTGCCTTGAAGGCCAGATAGACAAGAGTGGCAAAGCAGTCACAGGTCAAAGTCTTGAAGAAGCAGCAGTTCTAGTGAACAAAAAGCTCAACCACTTAGTTCCAATGACCTGTTCACCAACCCCGTGTAGCAAAAACATCACTAAGCTGTTCTTTGCACAGAGTTGGCACAAGTCAGACAGAAGTGAACACAGAGGGAAGTGATCAGTATGAGAACTTAAGTTGAGGTTGTGGGCCATTTGCAAAGTTGATACAAACCAAACAGCAGCCAATACAGAGATCTTAGGCCTCTGAGAATCAGGACTCAGGATTCACTGGCACCATTTTAACTGCCCTGAGGCTCAGTGACACTTCAGTGCCTGTCTGCTGATGTTCCCAACACTTGCTAGCTTTATAGTTACTATTCAAGCTAACCTGGGTAGGAATCTATTCCCTGCAGCCCCTAGAGCCTTACACACTTATTTTCACAAAACACATGCATCATTCTGTAAAAATACATTAATGGACTCAAATGTTTCCAAACCTACATTGTGATCATGATTTTTCAGAGACTGTCTGTCTCTCTATTAACTATCACTACATACTTCAATATTACAAAACAGTGGAAATAGCCATGGACTCTATAACACAGACTACTATGTTACTTTTATCAAAAAAAGTTTTTATTTTCTTGCAATTCATTAAACTGTTTCATTGCCAATTTTAAATGTAGATTTCTTAAGTACATACTTTTGTTTGTTTTTTCAAGACAGGGTTTCTTTGTGTAGCCCTGGCTGCCTTAGAACTTGATTTGTAAACCAGAAATCCACCTGCCTCTACTTACCAAGTGCTGAGATTAAAAGCGTGTGCCACCACACCTGACTGAGTACTTACTTTTTAAAAAAGAACACACAACACCAAAAATTTAGGTCTTCTCTCTCTTCTCTTCATTCCCATTTCTTCCTAAATTATTTTTGTTTTTTGAGATAGGGTCTCATGTGGTCTTGGCTGGCTTGAACTGATTCTCTGTCTATGTCCTGGTAAATGCCAGGATTACTAAATGTGTACCATCATCCTACAATTCTAAATTCCAATATGCATATTTTTAGAATATATAATTTGTAGGAAATGAAACAAAAATTAAATGAAAGAAATATATATTGGATCTTGTCTAGCAGTACATATACATAATGTAGCACTATTTATCTTTTCTCCTCCCCCCAAAAATTATTGAAACCATGATGTATCTTACAATTTATTAGAATTCGACAAAGTAGTTGCACAAATTTCAAACACTCCATTTATAACCATGACTGTTTTACATACAGACTAAGAAGATATTTATTTTGCCAGATATTTTGAATACTTTATAATTTCATTCAGCTATAGCCTGGGCATAGAATCACCACAAAAACCATGAAGTCCTGAACTGGCTTTTTGGAGCCCATTCTCTTTGGAGGGATACTTTGCTCACCCTAGATATAGAAGGGAGGGGCTTGGCCTGCCTCAAAGTGATGTGCCAGACTTTATTGACTCTTCATGGGAAGACTTACCCTCTCTAAGAAGCTGATAGGGAGCTGGGTGGGGGTGTGGGAGGAGGGGGGAGGGAGTGGGAAATGGGATTGGTATGTAAAATGAAAAAAGATTGTTTTAAAAATGAAAAAAAAGCATGAAGCCCAAGAAACTTATTTATGAGTAAAGAAACCAAAAAAAAGGCTTTAAGAGTCTCACAGTCAGTTGTGGGCAGAACCTGGAGTGGTGTTATTCTCCTGACTGTCAAAAAACTGGTTCCTTCCACTTCACCTAGCATGACCAAAAAACATACAATACCTCTTCATATAGCAAGGCAAAGAACATGGCACTGCTGAATCAGTATGAGTATTTCCTCCACTGGAAATAAGTAACCCTTCATTTCATTGACAGTCAAAGACCAGAAATGACAGCCTTAGATCCACAAAGTTTTAAAAAATTACTTGCAAATAACACATTACCTCATAAACTGTTAATCACAGTTCTTGCCTTTCCTGCCTGAAGAGTTGATGAATGTTCTCCTTCCTGAGAATTTGTGTAACATGAAAAAATAAAAGACCCAGAGACTGATATTGGGGTTCATCCTGAAGATCAGGGAAGCAAAGCACCAAGCCACTAGCTCTCACCTCTAGCTCAGGCTGAAACAGCCGACTCATGCACAAGCTCTTCTCCAAGTCTCAAACTGCTGCCTCTCCTCTGCATGGCTGGAGAATGAATGCCTCATACTAAGGACTGATACTGACTTATATACCTCTCATGAGTCCTGGGATTAAAGTGTTAGCTATAATTCTCTTTTAGGCTGATTCACTCTAGGGTCGATCTGGGTGGCCTTGGACTCACAGAGATCCGTCTACCTCTTAATCCTGAGTCCTAGGATTAAAGGTGTATACCTCCACCTCCTAGCTTCTGGCTGTTGGAATTAAAGGTGTGTGCCTGACTTCTATGGCTTGTGGCTGACTTTGCTTTCTGAATCGTCAGGCAAACTTTAATAAATCATAAATATCACCACAATTTGTATGTGACATATTTTAAAGACATTTTAATGTGTGGTACCTAGCATCACTGAAGGACAAGCTACTCCTTTTTGAAGCATGTCATGCTGCTGCGATTTGAGATAACAGCCACCAGATGGGAGCAGTGGTGTAGAAAGATGACCGCCCGGCCAGGGCTGAAGACAGCTCAGCAAGCCAGTCCAGATTTGTCATACCTACAATCGGTAAAACTTAAAGCAAAACAAGGGGTTACTACACCCAACACAGTCAGAACCACACTACTCAGCATCTATGCCCATAAAAGGCCCATCTGTGAGTAGGAAGGCTTTAACCATGAGATTGAAATAGAAACCTAGTAATATTTGTCATCCTAAAGACGCCAGCCACTCCCAGTGCACAGTGGACCAAATGGAGATGTAAACTATCAGGTGAGAGCAAGAAGGGAGGCAGAATCACCTTAGCTACTTCTCCAGCACAGGCCCAACTGCAAGAGCACTGACAGCACTGCTCCAGCACAGCCCATTTCCCACATGGGTCTGTCTCCAAAGCTGAACTGAGGATGGTCTACTAGACAGAGGTAAGACAATCTATGTGGCCTGTGCTGGGGTCAGCATATAGGCATTTACATTTCACAAAGAAAGGGGACTCCATCTGTGAAGGAAAGCAGACAAGGCAGGCAGGTAATTTTCATACAGCCACACCTGACCTCTTAAGAATGTGGGCTGCTTTTTTTTTTTTAATTTACAAAAACAAACATGTTTTCCAGTCTTTCTAACTTGGGTTTTTTTTTAAATACGGTGTATTAATTGTACAGAAGAATGAGTTACACTATGACACATTCATACATCATATAATATGCTTCTTTCATATCCCCCAACATTGCTCCTTTCTTATCTTTTATTTGTTGTTTTGTTGAGGTCAGTTACAGGCTAACCTAGAACTTACTCTATAGCCAGGAAAGGCTTCAAACTCATAGTAATTCTCCTGCCTCAGCCTCCTGAGTTCAGGGATTATATATGTGAAATATCACACTCAACTTTGGTTTTTAATTTTTGATGGGAAAAGAAATTACTATTTGCAATTCCCTGTGAGTTTAGTACTGTATCTGTGTGGTTGGTTCCCTCAGATCATCACACTTTAGAACAAGGCTTAACATACAGTGAAAATTCAATAATGAATTAGCTTCTCTCAATTATTACTACAGAGAACAGACACTATGGGAAACTGAGTATGGATGGCTGTAAAGGCACAGCTACCACACATATAAAGATAGCTGTTATTGTGCAGGAATATGGAATTGGTCCTATCAGCATTGTGTGTGTGTGTGTGTGTGTCTGTCTGTCTGTCTGTCTGTCTGTGTTCATGGAGGTGCACATGTGTGCAGGTGTGCATGCATGTGTGTATGGAAATCAGAGGTAAGTCTTGGATAAAGTTCCTCAGGAGCTGCCTACCTTGTTTTGTGAGACAGGGTCTCTTGATGGTCTGGAGTTCACCAATAGGCCAAGGGGCTCCAAAAATCCTCCCATATTTGCCTTCCTAGTGCTGGGATTACTAGCATGCCCTCCCACGCCCAGATTTTTCTGTGGGAGTTAGGGTTTTAACTCAGCTCTTCATATTTACCCAGCAAGCACTTTACCAACTGAGCTACCCCCAACACGTGGCTCCAATAAGCAACATTAATGTCTAAAGATAAGGTAAAGGGCCAGAAAGATGACTCAGCTGGTAAAGGTACCTGCAGCCAAGCCAGACCAAACAAGTTCAACCCCTGTCACCTACAAAGAGGAAGGAAAGAACTGATTCCTACAAGCTGTCCTCTGATCTCCACGTGCCCCTTCCCCAAATAAATAAATGTTT